ATCCCTGTCGGGAATTACTACGTACTAAACAATTAAATCAAATCCTACTGTCGTAGCTCAATGACCTAATTATTCAGCCTGAAGATCGATATCCTATTGAAGACCGCATAGCACCTTATTTAATCCACTGTCGCTTCGATAAGTTACTATGTCACATGAAATAGGTTCAGTTAATAGGGTTTCACTGTCGCTAATAACCTAATCAACTACGATTCATTGTATTGGTGGCCAGTCAACACAAAGCATTAAGCAATTCCATGCAATAGAGATTGGAAGAAAAGAATCATGAATCAATCCATCAAATCAAGAAATAGCTACATCCTATGGTGTTTCCCCCAGAAATTGGGGTTTAGTTCATGACGAAATTAAGATAAATCGATAGGGTTTTGTTCATCATGTTCTAAATCAACAATACACAACTAGTTCAGTTTAGAAAATCAAACCAACTAATCGCTCTCGTTGAACTCAGCTCTAGCCTTGAAAAAACTCAATCGCCGATGGAAATCGACTGATTGCCTGCTGCCCTGCTGCGCCGCTTCCTTTCTTTCTCCACAAGAAATTCGCCCCCTCACCAAAAACAACCAAAAAACAAAAGTCCCCCAGCAAATTAAGTTCCGCCCATTTATTTGCCCAGAGAATTCCGCCCACCAGAGAATAATTTTTCCTTTTCCTTCCTCGCCAAAGAAATCCGCCAGCCCTCTGCCTTCATTGGCCCAGCCAAGCCGGCCCACATGGCCTCCCTTCAAATAAAACCCGCCGCCCTCTTGATTCCGTCCGCTGCTGTGTCCGCCCAAAAGAAATCCGGCCCAATTTAATTGCCCCATCCAGCTGGGCCTTGAGCCCAGCTTCGAGAATGGTTTGTGCACTCGCTCCTCTTTCGTGCTTTCTCCACCTGCAATATATCAAACTCATGGCACTAGGCAGTAATGGTTTTTTTCAACCATTCTCGGGTTAGGGAGCCCTAAAATAGCACCAATTGGCTAAAACATACCATGAATAATCACATAAAGTCCAAGAATCCGATATATTAAAGCCGAATATCAGTAAGGTATGGGTTCCGAAGGTTGTGGATTCTGATGTGGTAGAGGAAATCATTCCGGTGAAAAGTAATGCTAAAGGGAAGGAGGTTGTAGTGGTGATTGGGTCCAATAGGGTTGAAGTTCCTTCAGGAAGTGCAATGAACTGTATACAGGGGCTTAATCTTGAAGAATCATTTAAACAGGTATCCGAAAGTTCACCGAGGCTGCCTACTGACCTGGAGTTTCAGAAAGTTATTCATGGGGCTAAGCCAAGATGGTCACCATTACCTAGTCCTACAAGTGTTCTCTCTACTTCTCAGTCGTTTGCTGCATTGGAAGGGTTAAATGAAGATAAGGTAGTTCAACTCCAGGGGGCCCCTAAAAAAGGTGAGAAGAAGTCAGGGCTTAATCAACCCTCTTCTCCCCCATGATTCTCCTGTTTTGGAATGTTAGAGGGTTTAACAAACCCTCTAAAAGGAAGGACCTGACTAGGGTTCTCCTTAAGTATAGAGTAGAGGTGGTTGTTGTTATTGAGACAAGAGTTAGGAAAGCAAAAGCTGAGGAAGTTGTAGAGGGTTTTTGCCAGAACTGGAAGAGGCATCTTAATTATGTGGATTCTGAGCTTGGAAGAGTATGGCTTTTTTGGGATCCAGAAGTGGTTGATGTAAGGGTTTTACTCACAGGGAAACATTTTGTGCACTGTATAGCTAGATCGGTTAGTGGGGAATCATTGTTTTTCACGGAAGTCTATGGCTCTAATGATGAACTGGAAAGGAGACAAACTTATCAGGAATTAGCTCCTACAAAGATCAGGGGTGCTCCATGGGTAGTGAGTGGTGACTTTAATGCGGTTTTGGCCCCGGAGGAAACCTCTAACCTCAGTGTTCGAACTAGTTGTATGGATGATTTCTCTAATTGGGTAGCTGCAATGGACTTAGTTGATCACAGAATGGTAGGGCCTCAATTCACATGGTCAAATAAGCAGGTTAATAATCCAATAGCAAGGAAGTTAGATAGAGCATTGGTTAATGAAGATTGGTTTGATGCATTCCCTGAGTGCAGAGTTGATTTGCTTACTGCTCCATTTACTGATCATTGTGGTGTGTTAATATCTTCTCAGCCTGGTCAGAAAACAATTCCTAAACCTTTTAAATTCTTTGATTTTTGGGCTGAGGACCCTCAGTTCCTTCCTCTTGTTCAAGAAGCTTGGGGGTTGGATGCTCAGGGACCTCCTATTATGAAGGTAAAAGCTAAACTGAATGAAGTGAAGAGGGTCTTAAAGAAGTTCAATAAGGAGGTTTATGGGGACCTAAGTGGTCAAGTAAGGAATTTGGAGACTCAACTTAATTTGGTGCAGATTAATGCACTAAATGAACCAGGGGAACTAGTATTTCAGGAGGTTGCAACTTTGGAAGCTAAACTAGGGGAGTTGAAGAAGGCAGAAGAAAGCATGTATAAGCAAAAATCAAGAGTTGACTGGCTTGCTTTGGGTGAATGTAGTACAAATTACTTTAAATTTGTAGTGAAAGTTCGAAATGCTAAGAAAGCAATCAGGAAATTGGTGACTGAGTCTGGTGAGGAGTTGCTTGACAGTGAGCTGATTGCAAATGAGGCTGTGCAGTTTTACTCTTCTTCTTTTGGCAAAGTGGATTCTCTAGTGCGTCCAAATAGAGAGAAACTGGAAGTTTTAGTTCAAAAGAGGTTATCTGAGAATGAGAGGAGCTTTCTTTGTCTTTCATTTACACCTGCAGATGTATGGAATGTGGTTAAGAACATGGATCCTCATAAAGCCCCTGGCCCAGATGGTTTCTCTGCGGGGTTTTATAGGAAAACCTGGTCTATCATTGGAGGAGATATCACAAATGCAGTGCTGGACTTCTTTCAATCAGGACGCCTCCCAGGTAGTGTAAACTCTGCTGCCATATCTCTAATACCAAAGATCCCTTCAGCTTGTGCTCTTAAGGATTTTAGGCCCATTTCCTGCATTAATCTTCTTTATAAGATCATTGCAAAGTTGCTTGCTTCTCGTTTGAAGAAGGTTTTACCCTCAGTAATTAGTGGCAACCAGTCTGCTTTTATAGAGGGTAGGAAAATTATTGACAACATTCTTATGGCCCAAGAATTAGTCAGCGGTTATCATAAAAAGCAGTTGTCATCAAGGTGTGCTATAAAAGTGGATTTGATGAAAGCGTTTGATTCTGTTAGTTGGGAATATCTTTTCTTGATGTTGTCTGTCATGGGTTTCCCCAATCAATTCATTAGATGGATATCATTGTGTGTCAAAACTGCTCGATTTAGCATATCAGTGAATGGGGGTTTGTGTGGTTACTTTGGGGCTAAACGAGGGGTTAGACAAGGGGATCCTTTATCCCCGTATCTTTTCACCATTGCCATGGAGGGCCTGACAGTGGCTCTTAATGCTGCGGCTTATTCTGGTCTTGTTCCTTACCACCCTCAATGTAAAAGAGTCCAGTTAACACATCTTTGTTTCGCTGATGATCTCCTAATTTTCACTGAGGGATCAGGGGGTGCTATTGCTAAGATTCAGAATCTGCTACATGAATTTTATGGTATGTCTGGGTTGCAATGTAATCCTCGAAAGTGTGAGGTATATTTTGGGGGTTGTTCAGTTGGTTTTAAGAAGCAAGCTTTGGAAGTTTCTGGTTTCCAGGAGGGTAAACTCCATGTTCGTTATTTAGGGCTTCCACTCATCTCTGGAAAGCTCTCATCTGCTGAATGTGATAAATTGGTGGAAAAAAATTACTCAGAAAATTAAAAGTTGGAGGGTCAAAAAGCTTAGTTATGCTGGTCGTTTACAGCTCATATCTTCTGTGTTCATGGGAGTGATTCAATACTGGATGCAAGTGTTCTTCCTTCCCAAGAAGGTTCTTAAACAGGTGCATAAAGTGTGTTCAAATTTTTTATGGCATGGTGGGATGAGGGGAAGGCAAAGATTAGCTGGGACAGATTGGCAAGGCCTAGACAGGAAGGCGGTGTGGGACTAAAAGAGCTGTTTTCATGGAATCAAGCTTGTACCACCAGAATGATATGGATTCTGCTCATGCAGAGTGGAACCATTTGGGTGGCTTGGATTTTGACTTATCGGATTAAAGCAAGTGCATTTGGACCATTAGGCCATCTTCTGGTAGTTCTTGGACTTGGAAACGTATACTCAAAGTGAGAACAGAGGTTCAGAATCATTTCTCAGGACAGGGGAGCTCATTATGTTGGGATGGTTCACCTATGCAGAGGTACTCAATTGGCAGGGTTTGGGATTCTATTAGAGTGAAATGGCCCAAGGTGAATTGGCACAAGCTGATCTGGGGTAAAGGTTTTATTCCTGGTCCTAGTTTCTTAGCTTGGTTGGTTCTCCAGGATAGTATTATTACAAAGGATAAACTGATAAAATGGGGCAAGCAGATTGACAGTTTGTGTGTATTATGTTGCAATAGGCCTGAATCAAGAGAACATCTATTCTTTGATTGTTCTTACTCAAGGGAGGTATTAAGATTGGTGCACTGTGAGAACTGGTTTTGCAGGGGTGACTGGCCTGGAACTTTATCAGCAGCATGTATGCTGAGTCATAAGAACACAGCTGCAGGGAGACAGGTGGGGAAGATTTGGTGTTTGTGCACGGCTATGATCTGGAAAGAAAGGTGCAAGAGGATGCATGGGGTGAAAAGCTGCAGTGCTGATATTCTGGGTAGGATGGTTTTGCAGGACTTAAAGTACATATGTCTGTTTAATGAAACAGTAAGAAGTGATTTGCAAAGTTTGGGTTTTGGGTTTTGAATCTATATTTGTTTTAGTAGGTGTGTAGTGATGTGGAGGATTATGAGATAGGCAGTCCTATCTTGGGGTTGTTTTACTTGCAGGGGGTTTTTTTCTCCCTTTCGTTGTATCAGGCGACTGTTTATTTTAATGGGAAGAACTGATTCAACGAAAAAAAAAAAAATTTATAGCAATTCAGGTGACCAAACTTGCAATTTACCCGAATTATTTTCTTGGAAGGATAATGTAACATCCCGGTTTCTCTTCCATGAGATTCACTGTGATGGGTCGTCTTTGAACGATCCCCAGGTGGCGGCTTTTGGCGTTGCAATGTTCAATAGCCATGGGCTTGTCTGGTTTCGTTGCAATGTCCAGCTTAGGTGACCATATCAAAGATCACAAGTCACACAATTGTCGCTAACCGAACTACCACAACTACACAAGATTGCCATAAACAAGTACCGATTTTGCTAATCACCACTCTACTGAGTTGTCTCTCCACTGCAAGCAATCTTTGTTTCACCACTTGAAGATCCTTTGTGGCGAAATCATTACACTGCTCACAAGCAAGAGCTGGAGTTGGTGGAGTGACAGCAACCAACTGAGCAAGCCGCTTATTCTCTTCTTCTAGTTCACAGACTCTGCTTTGCAAATTGACAATAAAATCCAGGAGCCTTTGTTCCCTGTTTTGCATAGCTCGCAAATCACACCAAGCAAAGAAGTCACACTCGACCTTACTCTGTAAAGAAATCAATCTAAATATTAAAATACGAAATATGAAACATATAAGAACTATTGATTTGAACACCCAAATGGCCAAGGAAAATTCCACATTCTCAAGCTCCTTGCGTTCAATAAATTCTATAACAACACTATATGAGTTGTAAACAGGTTACCTTTGAGTGGTAAAGAGAGCAAGACCAGAATTTGCGATTAGGGTTGTCGGAAGTTCTGGAAGTTCTCACTACAGCTTCCAATCCACACTCGCAGTATACCCCTTCGTCCGCCAAATCATCGATGAAGAAGCCGGCGGCCATTTCAGAAAAGATAGCCTCTTGCAGGACCCAGCGGCCAGCAAGGTGGAGATCGACAATGGAAAAGATAGCAGAAGCACTTCTATGGTTTCTTCGATCTCTTTTCTTCAATCTCCCACTTTAGGGATTGTTCTGTTTAGTGGAATGGGGGAGAGAGAGACAAAATGGGAATGATAATAGTTTGGGGTTTTTTTGGTGGAGATGGGCCACGACTAATGAGAAGAAAAGAATAAAATGAGAAGAAAAGAATAAAATAATAAAAAAGAAGGGCAATTTGGTAGTTTCAATTTCTCTCCAAATAAAACAAAGAAGTATTGCCTACATTACAGAAACCTAACCAAACGAGGCAATCTCAGCAGAATATCTCAGGGTCAATATGAATCATTTCTCAAATGAGTCTTTTTATCAAATTGACTCGTTGGATAATTGGCCCATCCAAACGACTCCCTAGTAATGTATGAGACCAGAATTATTGCGGTAGCAAATTCATTATTAGAAGTTGGAAAGAGACTCCACAAAATAACAAACATTATCCTCCTGTCCTGAGCCCATAATGTCTGAATTTCCGGACATATCAATTGGCAATTAAATAAAAACAAAAACACAAAGATAATCAAAACGTGACAAATTGGACCGACACAGCCCACCAACTCCTTATGGGCCCGCACAGCCCAGCAACTCCAGTGGGGCCCACAATCAGGCACTCTTCAAACTGTGACCGCCGTCGATCAAAACATCCAGCCCGCTAACATACTTCGACTCCCCACTCGCCAAGTAAAGCGCCGCCTCCGCCACGTCATCGACCCGACAAACCGCCCCCTTCAGCCCAACCTTCGCCGATACAACCTCCTCGATAAACTTCGGGTCCGTTATCCCCGACGCCGCGAACCCAAACGGCGTCGCCATCCCGCACGGCGAGATCGAGTTCACCCTTATCCCGTGCTGCCCGAGCTCCACGGTCAGGTTCTTCATCAGCCCCACCACGGCCGCTTTCGACGCGGAGTACTGGTGGGACGAGATCCCGTGCGTCGCGGCCACGGAGCTTGCGGTGAAGATGATGTTCCCGCTCCCGTTCGGGACCATCACGCGCGCCGCGTGCTTCGCGGCGTAGAACCCGCCGAAGACGTTGACCGCGAAGACACGCGCCAGCTCGGCGGGGTCCAGCGTGGCGATGCTCATCAGCATGTTGTCCTTCCCCGGGATCCCGGCGTTGCTGAACATGACGTCGAGCTTGCCGTGGGCGGAGACGGCGGCGTCGACGGCGGCGCCGACGTCGGGGTCGCTGGTGATGTCGCAGCGGGAGTAGGTGACGGCGTTGGGGGTGGAGACTTCGGAGCTGATTTCGTCCGCGACGGAGCGGCCGAGGTCGGACTGGAGGTCGGCGATGACGACCTTGGCGCCGTGGCGGGCGAAGAGGCGGGCGGTGGCGGCGCCGATGCCGCTGGCGCCGCCGGTGATGAAGGCGACCTTGCCTTGTAGACGCTGGGCGATGGGGTTTAAGAGTGAGGATCCTTTCATTGTTTTTTTTTCTAAACGTTTTTTTTGTTTCGAACCTGGTTCGAAGATTTTTTTTTTTTTATAAGGACGATTGATGCTATTCAAGAGTTTGAAAATTTTGAAGAGAAGAGGGATGGAGGTTGATGCTTTAATGGAGGGAGGGAGAGAGGATTTTCCTTTGGAGCTTCTTTTCACTTACCTACCGCTGTGATAATGTATTCAAAAAGAACGCCAACTATGACTCTTGTTTCTTTCTTCTGCTTTATGTTTTGTTTTCTCGTGTAACACACAGACACAGCTATCAATCAAAAATCATTTTGATTAATGAATATTCCTTGAGCCTCCCCACCAATCCACCATGTGATTACTGAGCAGTAGAATACAAAGACAAATATAAATATAATTCACAACGAGACCTCATGCATTAACCAAGTTGGAAGTGAGGAAATGCACAAAGAGGAATGATAATCAGAACGGAGAATTGGTGCATCGGATTCTATAGCTATTTCGAGTTTCGACCCAAATTTGCGGAGCCGATCGATAAGAGACGAGGAGGTTTTGATTGAACTCTTTTTGTTATATATCTCCTCTGGTGTATGAAGAATTTGTAAAGAGGTGGAGGCGATTCCTATGATCTACACTCTGACGCGCACAAGTTAGCACGATATGTGAGAAGTGAATGTAAAAAGGAGATAAGGTTTAGATCGAGAGGACCATGTGTGGTGAATTGTGGGAAGAGAAGAGAGCATCCTAGCTTGGAGAGATTGAGTCTCCTTGTATAGAATTTTGAGGGTTTGTACTTTTGTTGGTGAGATGTCTTGAGACCGACGTCTCGGTGTGTGATGGATGTCTCTTGTGATGTGTCTTAGACTGAGTTGGAATCTTCAAGGTGAGCTTGAGGTCTCGAGTGAAGGACCTGGAGAGTGATGTCTCGGAGTGAGTTGGCTTAGACTCATCTACGACGTGATCATTTGTCGTCTCGTTAAACAACTAACAACTGGAATCTGAAACTATATTGTGGACACGAAAGTTATGAATGTACATGTTTATTTGTAGTTGAGATTTGATTGCTTACTTCAGGTATTATTCGTGGTCGAGATGCTGGTTTTGGTCCTTTTTGGCATGAAATGTTGGACTGACTAACTAGTGACCTTACTATTGTAAGCAACTGGCAAAAGGCCAAATTGTAATAACATTTAGGAAAAATAAAGGTTATGTTCTATTTTTCTTTATCGACAGATGATCATTTTGCGAACGGTTACGGTGAGTACTACTAACGTAGTAATCACCGTGGCTACTAAGGGTAGGAATGGTATTCTGTTGCTTTTTGTTTTGGTAGTGATGCTAATTTTTATTGGTAGTGTTTACATTGGGTAGGAATGGTATTCTGGTGCTTATTGTTTTGGTAGTGATGCTAAATTTTATTGGTATTGTTTACATTGGGTAGGAATGGTATTTTGGTGCTTATTGTTTCAGTAGTCATGCTAAATTTTATTGGTAGTGTTTACATTGTGTTATTAGTGTATATCTGTATCGATGGATTGATGTTCAATTTTGAAAATGAGTTGCTTGACCACTTCCAGAAATACCAATATCATTATAGAAACAAAACAAGAAATCAATGCCAAAACATAAAAAAAAATATACCAATACAACCAATCAAGACGAACCAATACAACCAATACAACTACGGAAAAAATAGTACCATTACACGACAAAAACTACCAATATAAACAATCTATACCATTATAAGAATCAGTATCAATCCATTAAAATATTACCATTGCGCAAAACACCAATACCATTCGAGAAATAAAAACACTACCATTTGACAAAACACCAACACCATTGCATATTCAATCAATACCAATACGACAAAAACTATACCAATGCAACAAAATCAATACCAATGCATATTTAATCAATACCAATGCGACAAAACAAAAAACAATACTATACCGTTTCCGAAAACAAACAATCAACTACTACCAAAACAAAAAAAAACATATATAGGTTTTATGTTCTCCTCAGCCGTCTCTTGGAGAGAGAGAGAGAGAGAGGACATAACGAGGAGGAAGGGGAGGAGGTTGGCGGAGAGGGGAGAGGTGGGTGGAGGGGGAGAGAGAGAGGGCAGCGGAGGGGCAAGCGATCGTTGTCGCCGATATGAGAGAGAAGGAGACGGGCAGCAGTAGTCGCTGGGAAGAGATGCGGGTGGGAGAGAAATATATATTATTAGGGTTAAAAAAAGAGAGGGTGAGATTATAGGGAATAAGAATAAGATACAGTAAAATTTTGATTTTCAAAATTACCCAAAATGAATCTTGACCGTAAAATTAAAATAGAAGGAAAAATAAAAAATCTAATGATGTACAAAGAGATTGCCACGGTGGCTACCAAAAAACTAGTAACCACCCTAACTCATTCCATGATCATTGTATAGCAAATGTAAAGTTATATGGTTATTTTGGATAATTACCTGGACCTCGGAAAAGAAAATCTCGGCCCACCACAACCCAAAGGATCTAGGCCTGGCCTTAAAGCCCAAAACAGTGAAGAGGTGGAAAGTATTTTTTTAATTCAGCTGCATTTTCCCTCCCGGCCTGCCAATTGCCGACGCCAATCGAAACCCTAAATCCAGTCGAAATGCAGATTTTCTCCGATCAAATGTCCCAAGCTCTTTAGTCCTCTCCAGTTTTTCGATTCAGGCTTCACCGGTTGCGGTTCCAAGTTAATCGTATTTCGGTTTCCGGCGGCGGTGAGGTATCACACTCAATCGCCCGATTTCTGTGCTCCCTTCTCGCTTAATCGGTTCTCCAATCTTCAGATTTTACTTATATAACTGAAATAATCTGTAGTTGCCTCCAACAGAGAGCTATGAACAACAATGGTGAGGCTACGAAAGCCGGAAAAAGGCGCCGAGGTGGAGAAGGGGAAGATACTATTGGTCGTGACAGGTTAAGCGCTCTTCCCGACCGCGCCCTTGTTCACATCCTTTCATTCGTCGACTCCAAAGACGCCGTTCAAACCTGTGTACTGTCCCGACGGTTTAGGTGCGTTTGGAAACAAGTCCCCGTCCTGAATTTCAATAGAGATACCTTTGAAGAATTTTCAGGCTTCGAGACCCACGTTGACAGACTCTTGTCCCTCCGCTATCCCCGTGAAGTTCACAAGCTTAGCTACATGGACGGCGATGGAGGAGCTTCCTGGGAAGATGAACCGCGGTGTATGGGTTTGTTTGTTAGGGCCATGAGATATGCTTGCTCACATAATGTTCAGCATTTGGTGATCGACCTGGGTAGTGAGGGCAACCAAGATCGGAGTAAGAGGTGCTCTGATTTGTTTAGCAGCTCGATCTCGGAATGCAGAATCGAATCACTGGATTTGGGGCATGTAACCCTCGACGGTGGGTGTGGATTGTCTTGTTTTCAATCAGTGAAAAGTTTGATTCTGGAATGGTGTCTGCTGTCTTCTGATCAGGGCGGCGAGAAGGATGATCAGCTGGATCCTTTTTCTAAGCTTCCTTGTCTGAAGCATTTGGTCCTGAGTAATTGCCTGGCTGGTGAAACTTATGGTGGCGGGTGCAAAAGAAGTATAAAGATTTCTGGGCTCGAACTGCTTAGTTTGGTTTTGGATCGTGTGGAGTTTTCCGACATTGAAATACATGCACCAAAGCTCGAATCCTTCACTCTTACGGATGATATCGGAACACTTCGTGGACTGTCGAATTTAAGCCTTCCTTCGCTTAATCATGCTGATATATCTGTTTGGGACGATCACCATTTTGTCAAGCATAACAAGGAACTAGCGAAGCAGCTGTTTGTTTCGTTGTTCCAAGGCTTGCATAATGCTAAGTCTTTGAAGCTGTACTGGGAAACCATTGAGGTAGTTATACTTTTGACTCAAATCATTCATAGTCTAATACGGCAGTACCCGGTTCCTTCTGAAGATATCATATGATCACCATACAGTTTTCCTGAGTTTGTTGTTCTCTTTGCAGGTCATGAGTGAACTTACTGTGGGTTTGGCAGACCAACCATCTCCTTTTACGAGATTGACGTCCTTGACTCTGGCTGCTGACAGTGTGCCTTACAAACTCCTCAAGTACCTTCTTAAAGGATCCACGAGCAGAAGACCAATGATTGACTATGTCTAGACGCAGTAAACCGACCTCTTTGCAAGGCTTCTGATGATAAACTATCTGCAATAGGTTAGTACTTGGTAGTGCCCTTTTTCTTATCAGGTTATCTGGTGATGCTCACAGATACCCTTTTCTTGTCATTGCTTAAGGCTTAAAACAGATCATTCTGATGATCATTGTAGTAAAGTTGTTTGCTAGATTCTGGTTATATGAATAGAGTCTCTTGACCACGACTCGATGATAACGCTTTGTGTTGCATCCCAGAATTCGCCTTTTTGCAGTTGTTGATCAGAAGTTTTGAGTTATATAAGAGCAACGCCGAACTCCAAACTAATTCATTGAGGTGAACCATAATTCCACTTGTTATTGTCACGATTGATACTTAAAACAATTGGCCATGAAAGCAAGACCACGATTTTCTTATACACCTTATGCATCTATTATTCTTATTTAGGACATTCAGTTATTCTATACCGGTTAGGAAACGGTTTTTGTAAGCCTTGTATATATATATTATGACATTCTTCGGTTCATCCAGAGAGAACAACTCAAAGTTCGTTATTCTTTCAGAGGGAGCGACGCAAAAAAGTTGGAAATATCAAATATGTGTTCGGACAGGTTAAGTAAGCTTCCAGAATCCATTCTTCATCACATCCTTTCGTTTCTCGACACCAAATCTGCTGTTCAAACTTCTGTATTGTCGCGAGCATGGCGAAGTGCTTGGAAGCATGCCCCTGCCATTGACCTCCATAGCAATTCCTTCAAAAAGTTTCGGAAATTCAGAAGCTTCGTGTCCCGGGTTTTGTCCCTCCGCTACGACCTCAACGTCCATAAGGTGAGCTACAAATACTACGATCATGATTCGGAGGTCTCGCATTTTAGTCTGTTCGTCAAGGTCATCAAGTATGCTCTATCCCATGGTACACGACATTTGGCGATTGACCTCGGCGATGTTGCGAACGACAAATACAGCTATAGGTTCTCTGACTTGTTTGGCTCGGTCACGGATTCCAATCTCGCGACTCTGGAATTTGGGTATGTCACTGTCGACCGTGGATTCGGATCTTCCGAATTTCGAGCACTCACCACTTTACATCTGGATCGCTGCCTTCTGGGTACGGATCAGGGGGAGGACATCGATCTTTTTCCTAATTTTGCCTGCCTGAAGAATTTGGTCCTGCATTCTTGCTTTATCGAGGGTTCCGGCAATTATAGAAGGAGTTTCAAGATATCAGGACCTCAATTGCTTAGCTTGAAAATGCTGGATAATTCGCTGTACATCAAGATTGAAATATCTGCACCGAAGCTCGAATTCTTCGCTTTTTGGAATGTCCAGGCAATTGATGGATTGCCCAAGTTAAGCGTTCCTTCCCTGGTTCATGCTGATATTAGGTTCAGGTGCTATGGCCTGTCGGCATGGAACATCCAATCGCCGATGCTAATTTTCATCCCCTTGTTACAAGGTTTGAGCAATGCAACATCTCTCGTGCTGGATTCCTCTAGCATTCAGGTATTCCCTATTTGGATATTGCTACGACATAAGTGGTTTGTTTTCCTGAGGTTAATACCTTAGATTCTTGTCTGGTGGCTTGTGTTTTTTGTGCAGGCATTGATGGACAACATTGACTTTCTGGAACAACACCCCTCTCCCCTTACGAGATTGGAGACATTGATTTTGGAGGCTGTCACTAAACCCTTCAGATTGGCCAATTACTTGTTTAAAGGAAGTTCTTGCACATATCCAAAGACCGAGCTTCGCGAGATAAGCTCTGAATCACTTCGCCGTAAGTTAAGCTGTTAGCTCTGTTTGATTCTGAAGTAGCAATGGACCCTATCTATTTTGGTTCCTTCGATAAACCATTGGGCGTTGTCTTATGCTTACAGATTGCATTTCCTGCTGTTATCTCTGTCAATGAGCTTAAGAAACCTGCTGCATCTTCGTCCTCGAAAGGATCCATAGAAACGTCGAACCCACGTTGTTATGGTGTTTGCCAAACCGAGTTTGGATTCTGATTTTGCAGAGCGCAAGCTTACAGTAACTGATTTCAATTTGATACTGCTGGAGGTTTGATTCTCTTGGCTCGTGGGATTCAGTTTATAGTAATTGATGATCCCTTCGCGGTGGAGCTTCTTGTTCTCCGCGAAGCTATCAGATGGTGTCTAGAGCTTGGATTCTTGGAGGTTTGGTTTGAAGGTTATGCTCAAAGTGGGTGATTGATAAGTTCAATTGTGCTAATGGCCATGATAGTCGTGCGAGTGCCATCTTCCAAGAGGTCTCGCATATGCTGAGGATGCATAATGGGTTGATTGAGCGATTTGTTGGTCGGTGTAGCAATATGGTAGCTCATTTGGTGGCTCGACAGATTCTTTCTTTATATCCGACTATGAGTCGCTTTTTGATTTTTTCGTCTAGTTGCTTTCCAGATTTTACTGATATATTTTTCAATTATCTCTTGTTAAAAAAAACATAATTTTTCTACGCAAATCATTAAGTCATTCTTTACCATCTTATATTTGAGAGCATGAATGGGCTTCTATGTTATTAGTTTGGATTCATGGCTTAATTAAATGGATAGATTTTCTTGTGAAAAATTGGATGGAACTAGAGAAATAGATGGCTTTCTTTAGTTCCCGGTTCCCCCATAAGAGGACTTGTTTGTTGCAAATGAGAGTATATGGAGTAATTCGTTGTTTACTTTCATTTTTTAGAAAACAGATTTTGAGTCATTTTTGAGAAAACAGATTTTGCAAACAGGTGAAAACAACATTTTTTCGTTTCCGAAAACAGCAGGAAGTTGCCATTTTCTGTTTTCATAGTCGAAAACGAATAGAAAATAAAATGAAAAGTTAACAAGTTTTCTCGTTTCGGTTTGCCAATTTTATGACATGAAAACAGGAAACGAATACAGAAATGAACATGGCCTTAAAAGTAGAGGTGCTTACGAATAAGGGCTTGATCTAGTGTTAATACCACTAGTCTAGAACCTGGAAATCCTAGGTTCGAACCCTAAGGGTTAGTTTGGAAGTTGGGAGTCTACGAATATGTGTATTCTTGCTATGTATGTATTCTAAGTATAGTGATTGTAAGAAAGGGCTAATACCACTACAACACCCAAACTATCCGGAAAATGCCACTTGTGTCCTATTGTTTCCAATATTCCATCTGTGTCCTGAACTATGACACTTTGTGTCATTTGTATCCTGTCAATTTCGTTGACCGTTAAAGATAACAGTTGACCAAACGGTGGTCAACGCAAAGTTGACTTTTGTTGACGTGGCAAAAAAAGAGGCTGCCACATAGATGCCACGTCATTGACGTAATATTTTTTAATTCAAATTAAATAAAAAATGAGTTAAATTAAAAAAAAAATTAAATTAAATTATATTATTAAGCCAATACTTTAAAACAAAATAATACAAAATATCATTCTTCTTCCCTACCGATTCGCCCTCTCTTTCTCTAAAAAAAATCTCCAAGCCGGAAAATCGTTTGGTCGCCGGTGGCGGCGAGGGAGAGCAGAGGGTTGTGAATCAACCCACTTTTTGGCTCTTGCTGCCGACGATTGATCCCGCCGCACCAGATCGAATCCCTGCACCGAGTTTAGAATAACTGGAAGATGCAGGTTCTAGATCGAAATCAGCGAGCTTATTTGCAACACTCCTTCTCCCCAGATCGATGAAATCCGAAGCGGGATTTGGGCAGAGATAGCCTAATCAGGAACTCTCGCCACACAATCTTCCTCAATTAATCATACAAGAATATCCCTTCTCACTCTCATATTCGCTTCAAACAATGAGCAGCTAAGACCCCAGTCTCTGCAAGCCGCAAATCAATCCAAACACAGAGATCTATAGCTACCTTGAGAGAAGTATAGATCTAGCTCCGACGAATTCATAGTTGTCGCTTCAAACCCACATCTATACGGCCACTTCTCGCCGGTCATGGAAACCGCCGGCTCCGAACCGACATCTACTCCACCATCGTGGTCCACGATTCCTCGTCAGAATCCGAGGCGGAGCCGAGAGCCAGAGCCAGAGCCAAACCCTCTCGCAGACCAGAGACCGACGACATCTACGCCACGACGGTGTACAAGGGCGGAGCCGCCGATTTCGGGAAGAGCGACGGAGAAGAGGACGAAGACGACGAAGAATCGCTGCCTCCGCTTCTCAAGCGCTCGCCCAAGGACTTCGGAGGTGGCGACCCGGTGGATGAACGCCGCCGCCACAATTCCAATCCCTAATTGCTCTGTCCGCCATTTACAGAGAGTTCCAGATTGGAAGTCGAGAGAGAGAGAGAGAGAGAGAGAGAGAGAGAGAGAGAGAGAGAGAGAGAGAGAGAGAGAGAGAGAGAGAGAGAGAGAGAGAGCAGAGAAGCAACGAGAGGGAGTTAGTGGAGGCGGTGGGAGAAGGGGAGTTGCTAAGGAGAGGGAGTGAATCGTCGATCTGGAGAAGAGAATCGACGATCTAGAGAAGAGAAGCAGGGTCGCCAGTGAGTCGATGAGAATCGACTGATTTGAGTTATTTTTTTATTTTTCTAATTTTCCATAATTTTTATTTTTTTCCTTATTTTAATTATTTTAGATGAAAAAATAAATAAAAATTGAAAATAAAAATTCCACGTCAACGCTGACTGGATTTTCTGTCAAATGCTAACAGTCAACACCGGTCAACACTAACGGAATAATAGTTCAGGACACAGATGGAATATTGGAAACAATAGGACACAAGTGGCATTTTCCGGATAGTTCGGGTGTTGTAGTGGTATTAGCCCTTGTAAGAAATAGATGATTGTAAGAATATGTTGTTTGGTTGTTGTGATTCTCACTTTTGAAGAATATAAGGATTCCCACTTTAATGACCTAAAAGACTTATGTAACCTTGAAGTTATCTTTATGTAATCATTAAATGAGGGACAAATATGAAATATATAAAAAAGAATAAGGATAAGAGTGTAAAAAACAATTACAAATGTAAAACAAAAGAATCTCACATTTTTGTAGAGATTCTAAATGAATGATTCTAGCCATTTGAGATTCTAAAGTTTTATTTAAATGCATGCATTCTGAACAAATTTACGTCAAAAGAACGATGGATTGTAAAGAATACACACATTCAGAGAATCACTCATTTAGACTCCTTACTTCCAAACGACCCCTTAATCACAAAAAAAAAAAAAAAAAACTGAAACCTATATCACCCTTATAAAAAAAGGGCAAATACAATATATTAGTCATAACTATTAAGCAACGGGGAATTATAGCCACAACTATCGAAATACAAATTTTTTTTTTTTTTTTTAGATAAGGGTGATATAGGTTACTTTTTTTGTTATTAGGTACTACTAAAGGGACTCGAACCAGGGACCTCCAGGTTCATGACTACTGGTATTACCACTAGACCAATCCCTTGTTCGTATCGAAATACAAATTATTAGCCAATCGTTAAGTTTTCGTTAACACTTCTGTTAGTAATGATGACTAAGCTTTTACGATGGTGAGCTGGCTCCCACATGGCAGTCATCATATCATATTTTTTACGATGCTGACATGGCCTTCTACGTTAAAATTTTGAAAACAGTAACGGGCTGTTAGCCAAATCTTGACCCACAACAATAGTTATGACTAATAATTTGTATTTCAATAGTTATGGCTATAATTCTCCGCTACTTAATAGTTATGGATAATATATTGTATTTAAAAAAAATGTAGAGGTGCTTATTTGAATTTTTTATAATTACTTGATCAACGATCGTTACATTCCCCGCTTCATTTTGACATTCCCTCCGACCTGTATCGGAGCTGCGAAACCCTAATGTCGACAAGTGAAATGTAGCTCACCGGCCACGGCGCAATTCCCTCTACAGTCTTCTGCAGGCGTCTCGCCAAGACTCATCGCAGTTTGTGTTCGCTCGCCGAAGTTGGATTCTTTCTTGCACCGGCGACGACAATAGTCTATCCCCCGGTGACTGACCTTTCTAGGGTTGAAGTTTCTCTGCAGTTCACGGTCAATAGAAAGCTATGACCAGCGAGTTAAGGAAAGCTGGGAAAAGGCGCCGATGGGATATGAACAGTAACAGCTCCGGCAGCGAGTTGGGTAAAGCTGGAAAATGGCGCCGCGAGGAAGATGAAGAAGAGACTAATAATACTGGTACTACCAGTGACAGGTTAACCCATCTTCCAGAACCCATTATTTATCACATCCTTTCATTCCTCGACACGAAAGCCGGTGTTCAAACCTCCATCTTGTCCCGAGCTTGGAGATCCGCTTGGAAAAATGTCCCTGTTCTGGATTTCTGTAGCAATTCCTTCAGCCAGTATCCGAGTTTCCGGAGGTATGTGGACAAAGTTCTGTCCCTCCGTTATCTTGTTAATGTCGAAAAGTTGACCTACATCTCCAATGAAAGTTCAGAGGAGGAACGAGCTGATAGTCAATTTGGCAGGGTTGTCCAATATGCCTTGTGCCATGATACTCAACATTTAGCCATAGGCGATAGGATTCGTTTCCATCGCTATCTCAGATTTTCAGATTTGTTTGGTTCGATCTTGAATTGCAATATCAGAACCCTAGAACTACGCAGTATCGCCATCGATAGTGGGTTTCGGTCTTTTGGTTTTCGGAGGATGACCACTTTGAAGTTGGATTGGTGCAACTTTTCTTTTGAGCAGGTGGAGGACCTTGATCCATTCTCGAACTTCCCTTGTCTCCAGAATTTGTCCTTGACTAATAGCTCCAACAGGGTTCCCCGTCACTTGCGTGGAGGGGGTTTCAAGGTTTCCGGGCTCCAATTGCTTAGCCTGAAACTCGAACTTATGAAATTTCGCAAGTTTGAATTAGATGCTCCCAAACTCAAGCTGTTGCATATTTCAGAAATTGCGGGTTTTTGCTCAGCATTCTCAGAGTTGAGTCTTCCTTCCCTCGATCATGCTGATATCCTTTTCTATCCGGATTCCATGGCAAACAAGAAGCATTTAGTCTCCTTTTTCAAAAGTTTGCATAATGCAATCTGTCTCACCCTGCATTCCAAAACCATCCAGGTACACTTAGGTTGAACATTGTTGCTTCTAAGTGGGATGGTTTTCTTCAGAGAATATGCATTACCTCACTTATCAAGTTCGGTTTTGTTCTGTTCAGGTGCTGAGTGGTCTTGATGAGTTTCTGGAACAACCAACTGACTTTTCTAGATTGACTCATTTGAATGTGTCGTCAAGTAGCATACCTTACGAAGTGGTCGATTGCATTCTCAAAGGATCCTCTACCATAGAACCAAATGTCCAGTTTGTCTAGCTGTAAAGGTAATCGACCAGTTTGCTATAGCTTCTGATCATATAAACAGCAGAATATCTCATATCACATCGCCATGCATTTTTGTGGTTTGTTTTTGTTCTCTCTCAGTAGGTACCGAGTGAATTCAGTTGGTGGTATGCGAGAGCAGCGGTCTCCTTTTACGAGTTTGAAGTCCTTGATTCTAGCTTTGGAGAGTGTACCTTACAGACTCCCCAAGTACTTTCTTGAATGATCATATAGTGGAAGACCAATCAGTGAGAAGCTCCTGGAACAACTATATGCAATAGGTTAGTACTTGGTAGTGCCCTTTTTCTTATCAGGTTTATCTGGTGATGCTCACAGATACCCCTTTCTTGTCATTGCTTAAGGCTTAAACAGATTATTCTGATGATTGTTGTAGTAACTTGTTAGCTTGGTTTCTGGTATATGAATCGAGTCTCTTGACCGCGCGACTCGATGATAACCCTTTGCGATGCATCGCAGAATCATTGCTCTCTGTGGCTATTACTTTTCGCTTTCGGTTGTTGATCAGAAGTTTTAAGTTATTTAAGAACAATGCCGACTCCAAACTTATTCATTGAGGTGAACCATATAACTCCACTTGTTATTGTCACGATTGATTTTCTTGAACATTGGCTTTATCCTATGCTATGAAAGCAAGGCCACGATTTTTTTTTTTAACACTTTATGGATCTATTATTCTTATTTCTAACATTCGGTTAGTTAATTGGTACTTTATTATTGTTTATTGTTACTTGGGGAAGAAGAATCCGATGCTGGTTAGGAAACGATTTTGTAAGCCTTGTATATATATATATATTATGACATTAGTCCGTTTATCCAAGGAAATAACTCAAAGTGTTCGTAATTCTTCTTATATATAATTAGTGGGTACGCTTTTTGCCCAAAATTCTTGCTACTGTTTCAATTTTTGGCGTTTAGTGAGTTGCTATCTCAAACCTTCCACTGGAGATCTCTTTTGAAACTCGACTTTTGTGACCTCCCTGACCCACCAGAAGTGCTCGCCTGCTACACTGTGCGACCATGCTTTCCTCCCTGCTCCTCTGTCAGCTTCATTGTCCTTCTCCGAATGACCTCCTCTCTGTATGCACGCTACAACCCATGCTGCTTTTGCTGAGCTCTTTCTACAAGGCTCCTTCCCATCCGTTTGTACGAAAAGCGAAATCCGGCGCTATTGAGCACAGGGGGTGGTGCCTCTGTGTCAGCATCTCCATCTCATTCTTGCCTGTCATTGGAATTGGAGGTTGGTTCTTCCATTTTTTTGTTCCCAAAATTCACTCTCTCCTCTTCCACCGGGTCTTTCTTGCGATCTCGCCTCTTTTGCTTGCTAAACCATGATTCTTACTATCCTCTCCAAATTGGCCTTGACGGAAAAAGCTCCGACGTTGAAACTGTGTCTTCTGTACACTTGCATGGCCGAGAATACGTGGCGGTCCAATGGATGCGCCGAGTACGCGATGTTATGGACAGATGAGCTAGATAGTTCTCTGTGTTCTTGGGTCCTGCGGCCCAAAAAGGCAAAAAACAAAGAAAAGGGACGAATCCCTTTCTTTCCGAAGGTGGTGGAGAACGACGGCAGGGATAATGGCGCTCGATAAAGGAGATGAGGACGATGGTGGCGACGGAAGTCGGGGGTATGTGTTTTAGGTTGCGTGTGGTTCTTGGAGTATTTTCTGAATTAAATATTTTGATTTTGATCTATTATTGACTGGGATTTCTGAGGGGGTGATTAAGGTCGTCGAGGAAACCACAATCGTGACGGAAGAGGAGCAAGGGGCGGCTATCCTCAGAGCCGAATCCAGACCCTTCCCTAAATCTCAGGCGATGTTCTTCAGCCCGTCGACAAGTACACAAGATTGGTGCGGCGGGAAGATGAGAAGAGAGTGTCAATTTAGAGTAGGGAAAGGAGAGCATAGCCATTGTCGCCGTATGGAGAGGCTCGACATGGCTGCTCTCTTCTGCGATTGCCTGGCGATTGGTGCGGGAAGAATGGATCCTACCGGGGGAGGGAGCACCTTTTCCACCCTATTTCCTGTTGTTTATTTGCATTTGGCTTTCCTGAAAACAAATCTGCTTTCATGTGTACCTGCAAAGTTGATTGTGAAATGTATGTGATTAGCTTAACCTTTCGAGGAATATTGGTTGGGTTTTCTCTATTGGACTGATATGGATTTTTTAGGTAATCAACTTGAATTTGTGTCCTGTCGTAACTATTTTGTTTTCTTTGTGTACAATAGCTTCGTTTTCCAAGTGATCGGCATTATCCTTTCCAGCTTCAAATCTTGCTTCCCTGCTTGAACACGGTGAGACAATTGGGCAACAAAACAGTAAGTTTTATCCTCTTCTGTGGATACTATTATCTGCATTGGTAAACTCCGGTTAGTGAACTAAGATGAGAGACAACAATGCAACTCTTTTGTAAACTTGGTTGTTTTAGAAGCTTCAAGGAGTTATCCAGTTGATGTAGGTGTCTTCAGGGGGTGGATGTGGCTCTTAAGTTGTGTTATATGGAGTGATTTCCCTACACATGTCCATATCATGGATTAGGTTGTTTCCAGTAGCTATTAATGTAGTTTCAGTGGGCTGTCTGTCATAAGTTTCTGAGATATGTAGTAGTTTTTTTTTTCTTGGTTCAGTCCGAGGTTCTTTTGCTGCAGAGTTCAGGTCGCGTGAATAACCCAAAGGCCGCTTGCAGGTGTCCATGTTAATTTTCACTTTTCTTTATTTCACATTGGAAAGTCCCGCCTTTGTCTATGAAACGCTGTCCAGTTAGTATAGATCTAAATCCTTTCGCCAGTACCAATGTAAGCGCCACAAACAATCCGAGCATGAGTTAGTTTTTCCTATGCTTTGGTTTGCCTCATGAATGAAATTTTCCTTTGTTTTGGTTTACTTATAGCCACAATATTGTGGCTGGGTTGATCTGAAATGGTTTCCATCATTTTTCAGTTTTGGGTTTCTACGAGTTTACCTTCCCGAGTCCTGGCCCTATGCCCGACAATGGTGTACTGTCAATTGGGTGATCTTCAGTCGAATGGGCCACGTGTTGCTTCTTATCAGCTGCTTTTGATTGTCTGCTCGAAGCAACATTTGTGAACTGGTAATAAATTGAACAATACAATGACCTTCTTTCCAGGATCTCAACTGTGTTTACATTTGGATATGGAGAAGCACCAGAACTAGCTATGCTTACCCTCAAGGGTAATCGCCCCCTATTTATGCTTCCTTCAAAGTGTTTTTTTGTTTTTGTTTGTTAATTGATTCTCTCAACTGAAATGCTGCATTTTACAGGTTTGGGGCAAGGCAACTTTGGGAATAATCCAATACTTACTCTTACAATGAATTTAAACGTGGGCTTGAACTGTACAAGGCAATTTTGGTAATAATAAACTGTAGTTTCTCCAAGGTTGGTATTGTAGTTTACTTTGTCATTGTCATGTAGTTTATTCAAGCTGGTAATTTTTTCAAGACTGCTGCTGTAGCATACTGTGTAAATTTATATCAGTGGGTATATTGCACTGGTTTCATCATGGGAGGTCTTGGTCTGTGTTCCTTTGCTTATGTAGTATTTGAATCGGATTTGAAATTGGGGTAATCTATTGAATGGATGTGTTGCATATATGTGCAGGTGATGCTTGGTTGCGATGAACCGGAACCTGGAGTAACTGTAATGTAGCTGCCGGTGAGGTGAAGGCTGTTACTTTATGTTTTTTACTCAATAATAATAATAATCTACTTTCTCTCTTTTGGTTTGGTTACTTTATGATTGATTGTGTCATGGATCGCTTCTTCCCTAAATGTAACTTTTTAGTTACTGAACCGAAACTAACTACTGTAACTTTTTAGTTACTGCGGCGTTGCGTAGCCGCCGCAGATATTGATTCTAGTGCTTTTAAAAGTTGGAAAAATGTGTTCGAACAGGTTAGGTCATCTTCCAGAACACATTATTCATCACATCCTTTCGTTTCTCGACACCAAGTCTGCCGTACAAACCTCTTTATTGTCGCGAGCATGGCGAAGTGCTTGGAAGCATGTCGCTAATATCGACCTCAGTAGCAATTCGTTCAAAGAACATCCGAATTTCAAAACCTTTGTGTCTAAGGTTTTGTCCCTCCGCTACAAACTCAATGTCCAGAAGCTGAGCTACATAGATTGCGGTCGTAGTTCGGAGGGTTGAGATGTTAGTTCGTTTGTCGAGATCATCGAGTATGCTCTATCCCATAAAGCTCGACATTTAGTGATTGACCTCGACAATTTGTTTGATTACGAAGGCAGTTCCAAGCTCTCGGACTTGTTTGGCTCGGACTTGGATTCCGATCTCGCAACTCTAGAGTTGGGGTTTATCTTTGTCGACTGTAGTCTTAGATCTTCTGGTTTTCGGGCACTGACCACTTTATGTCTAGACCGATGCCTGCTGGGTTCTGATAAGGAGGACTTCGATCTTTTTTCTGATTTTGCCTCCCTGAAGAATTTGGTCCTGCATCATTGCATTCTCCATGAAAGGATTTTCAAGATATCAGGACCTCAATTGCTTAGCTTGAAAATACTGGATAATCTGCTGAACACCAAGGTTGAAATATCTGCACCGAAGCTCGAATTCTTCAGTTTCTGGAATGTCCTGGAAATTCATGAATTATCCAAGTTAAGCGTTCCTTCCTTGGTTCATGCTGATATTAAGTTTGCGTCCAATGAACTGAGCGCGACTATCATCGAATGGCCGACCCTAATTGTGATCCCCTTGTTCAAAGGTTTGAGCAATGCGACATCTCTCGTGCTGGATTCCTTTAGCATTCAGGTAATATGTAGTCGACATTGCTGCAATATAGGTGGCTGTCTTCCTGAGGATATTACCTTAGATTCTAAGTTTTGGCTTCTGATTTGTGCAGGAATTGAGCGACATTTGTGAGTTTCTGGAACAACACCCCTCTCCCTTTACGAGGTTGGAGTCATTGATTGTGGAGGCCGACACCATGCCTTTG